GACCCACGCCCTTTTCCAACAAATCAAACAAAATCCAAAGGGAACAGAAACCTTATAATGCTTCTGCAAAATAATTAGCTGTGATAAGCACAAGCCCTGCCGAACTGTGCAAGACTTGCCAAAAGATAACAGACAAGAAATAATTTGCAATACAAGAATCTTCAAATACAAACTCAGGATACTGGAATGTCCATGAGGCTGAGTTTCAAAACGTTTTTGCTTCCTGCAAAGAAAGTCCAATTCAAAGCTGGCTTTTATCTTCTTGAAGGAGGGGCCATTACCTTGCAGCCTTATTCCTGAGTCTCCTGTGCTGTTGTAGCTTCTCTTTCCTGCAAGAAATCCTGTGCGCACATGCACTTAGCATAGGCTCCTCGGGAACCTCCTCATCACTGCTGCCAGTCCCCACAATCTCTGAAGGCAGCAGCCCACTCCCTGATGGTCCTGGCGCCTTATCTGAGTCCTCGCTCTCCTCAGCCGTCCGCACCTGCTGTCGGCTAACCATAACAGTAGGGCAACTTCCCACCACAAGGGCATCCCCAGATGTGGAGATTCTAGAAAGAGTACAAAGAAGAGCAACAAAGAAGATTAGAGCGCTGGAGGCTAAAGCCTTCGATTCAGCTAGTCCTTGACTTACAACAGTTTGCTTAGTGACCATTCAAGGGGGTTGGACTAGATGACCTCCAAGGTAAAATGAGGACCCAGATTGTTGGGGGAGATAGGCTGACTCTGTCAACTGCTTAGTGAGGGCCGTGAAAGCACCGTGAAGCTGTGTAGAAGTCTACACTGCTATTGCTATGTTGGCTGGAGAATTCTGGAAATCGGAGTTCACACATTTATAGTTGTTAAGACTGTCAAGAACTGAGCTAGAGTCCGCGTTGACCTCCACTTACTTGGAAGTACTTTTTGGGATCTGTCCTAACTTTGAACAGTCATAAATCAAGCATTATCTGTACTGTTTTAATCAACAGCTGCCCCTGTTCTGACAGCAATAAAGAAATATTGGGCAGGATCAGAAGGAATGGGTGGAAAAGAATGAAAGAGAGAAACAACCTAGAACGAAGGAAAAATTACCTGACAGTTAAAACACTTAACCAGTGGAACTACTTGCCTCCAGAAGTTGTCAATGCTCCAACGCTGGAAGTTTTTAAGAAGAGATTAAACAACCCTTTGTCTGAAGTGGTGTACGGTTTCCTGCCTAAGCAGGGGGTTGGACTAGAGGATCTCAAAAGTCCCTTCCCATTCTGTTGTTCTATTTCTATTCTAAGCATATAAGGATATTCTTATCCGTGCAGGCGAGTGTGTAATTTGCACTAATACACAGGTCAGCTAGTTTAAGAACCGTGTTCATGACTTAACAACTGCAGTGACTTAACAGCTGTGCCAAGGAAGGTTGTAAAATGGGGCAAAATTCACTTTAAAACAAATGTCTCGTTCAGCAATGAAAATTTTGGGCTCAATTGATGTGGTAAGTCAAGGAGTGCCCATAGTACACGTTTCCCTTTAACACAAATGGGTTATTTAACCCTCACCAAGTTTTTGTTTCCTAAGGCAGAGAGTTAAGCGGGAAATTCCCAGGGAGGACCGCGTTCGAATCACAACCACACTGGAGTTTTCATATTACGACCTTTATTACCATAGCTGTTAAATTGAATCTCGCCAGGTGTTGAGTTAGTCACCCGGTCGTTAAAGGGACCGTCATAACCAATGACCAAGCAGTCCAAATTTTGATCACGCGAGATGCCACAACTATTGTTTTAAGTGTGAAATACGGTCGTAAGTCGCTTTTTTCCAACTTTGAACGGCCACTATACGAATGGTCGTAAGTCAAGGACCACCTGTGTTGTTGTTTTTTTTAAATAACAGCTTAGAAAAATAATTTCGGATGATGATTTTCTTCAGAAAAGTTTTTCAAAGGAGGAAATAAATATGGCAAAAGGTTTCATGTGTGTGTGTGTGTGTGTGTGTGTGTGTGGTTTTTTATCTTTAGTTGTATGCCTGGGTGTGTTGTGTCAATGCCCCGCCTCTCCTTGGCAAATTTCTCTCTGCGTCCGTCTACACAATGGAAGGAATGGCCTCTCACCCACCGCTGGTCGATTCCTTCAAATGGAGAAGCCACAAATCTCTTTGTAATGGAGAGAAACGCCGCATGAAAACCTGTCTTCAGCATTTCTGCCGTCCCCGTAATATGGCAGGTTGTAAAACGAGCACTCCAATATTTTCCATGTTTGGGGATTCTGACAATACGGTGGAAAGAAGCCTTGGAAAAGAAAAAAACAACAACAGGAAATTTGGCCCAACAAAAGACTCTAACCCAGGAGGGTTTACGTGCTTTGGTGACACATCCCAGCAGCGCATTGGGAGTTTGGTTTAGTCGTCTTGGGCTAGAAATCTGGGAGATGGTGAGTTCTAGTCCTGCCTTAGGCATGAAAGCTGGCCGGCAGACTTTGGGCCAATCGCCAGGAGGCTGTGAGTTCTAGTCCTGCCTTAGGCATGGAAACTAACTGGGTGACTTTAGTCAAATACTAGGAGACAGTGAATTCTAGTCCTGCCTTGAGCATGAAAGCCAGCTGGTTGACTTTGGTGCCAATCACCAGGAACCAGTGAATTCTAGTCCTGCCTTAGGCATGAAAGCTGGCCGGCAGACTTTGGGCCAATCACCAGGAGGCTGTGAGTTCTAGTCCTGCCTTAGGCATGGAAACTAACTGGATGACTTTAGTCAATCACCAGGAGACAGTGAATTCTAGTCCTGCCTGTGTAGAAACCAGCTGGGTGCCTTTGGCCAGTCACCAGGAGAGAGTGAGTTCTAGTTCTGCCTTAGGAGGTGTGAAAGCCAGCGGGGAGACTTGGAACCAGTCTCACTCTCTGTCAGCCTATCCCACCTCACAGGGTTGTTGTTGTTGTAGGGAAAAAAAGAGGAGGAAAAGGGAATATTAGACACATTTACCGTTCTGTATTACTTATGAAGTAATAAAGCCAGGTTAAAAAGCTCTAATAAATCCATCAGGTGGGAGTGCACAGCGCTCTCCAGATCAGGGGTGGGATTCAAATTTTTTAACAACCGGTTCTGTGGGCGTGGCTAAGTTGGTAAGCGTGGCTTGGTGGTCATGTGACTGGGTGGGCGTGGCCAACTCAACATCGCTCACATCGAGGCACGCATCTCCTCGCCTGGCCTCTCATGACAGTGGGGATGCTGCAACAGTCGTAAGTGTGAAAAACGGTCATAAGTCACTTTTTTCAGTGCCATTGTAACTTTGAATGGTCCCTCCACACAAGCAAAGTACCAGAAAAGGAGGGGAAAAAACTCCAGAGAAGTTCCTGAGACAGGAAGTCTAGTCCTGCCAAGAATGTAATAAGGGTTAACAGAGAGGCAGTTTCTGTAAGCAACACCAGAATGTTTCCTTCCTGCCTTCCTTACAGGATTAGCCCAGTAATTTCTTCTAACAGCCGGTTCTCCCAACTGCTTAGAATGTTAACAACTGCTTCTAGCCAATAGGTGCAAACCTGTAGAATCCCACCCCTGCTCCAGTTGCTCCATGGATGCTCTGCGAAGAGGAGAAGTTGCCTCAGTTCCTTCCAACTTCTAACAAAATGAAATTCAAGGGTGAAAAAAGTCAGGTTCTACATATAGGCAAGAAAAACCAAATGCACAGGGACAGTATAGGTGGTACCTTGCTCAATAGGAGTACCTGGGATGTCGGAGTCCTAGTGGACAATCATTTAAAGATGAGCCAGGTGTGTGCTGCAGCTGCCAAAAAAGCCAACACAGTTCTAGGCTGCGTAAACAGAAGGATAGAATCAAGATCACGTGAAGTGTTAATACCGCTTTATAAGGCCTTGGCAAGGCCACACTTTGAATACTACATCCAGTTTTGGTTGCCACGGTGTAAAAAAGATGTTGAGATTCTAGAAAGAGTGCAGAGAAGATCAGCAAAGAGGATTAGCAGACTGGAGGATAAAACATATGAAGAATGGTTGCTGGAATTGGGTAGGTCTAGTCTAGTGGAAAGAAGGAATTAAGGGAGACATGATAGCAGCCTTCCGATATTTGAGGGGCTGCCACAAAGAAGAGGAAGGAGTCAAGCTATTCTCCAAAACACCTGAAGAGGCAGGACAAGAAGCAACGGATGGAAACTCATCAAGGAGAGAAGCAACCTTGAACTAAGGAGAAATTTCCTGACTGTGAGAAGAATTAACCAGTGGAACAACTTGCCTCTAGAAGCTGTGGATGCTCCCTCACTGGAGGTTTTTAAGAAAAGATTGGACAACCATTTGTCTGAAGTGGTATAGGGTTTCCTGCCTAAGCAGGGGGTTGGACTAGAAGACCTCCAAGGTCCCTTCCAACTCTGTTATTCTATTCTATTCTATTCTATTCTATTCTATTCTATTCTATTCTGTTCTGTTCTATTCTATTCATTCTATCTCTTAATTTATTCTATCCCTTAGTCTATTCTATTTATTCTTGATTCTATTCTATTCCTGATTCTATCCTATCCTATCCTATCCTATCCTATCCTATTCTATTCTATTCTATCCCTTAATCTATTCTGTCCCTTATTCTTTTCTATTTATTATTGATTCT